AAGAATAAAATTAGCAGTGGGAGAAAAACATCAGTTTGATATCTAAATTTGGAAAACTTGATGAATAAATCTAATAACTCCGTTGTGGGGAGAGAAAAGAATAGCAACCCTTTGTTTAAGGAAAAATAAATATAACGTAAGGGCTGATTGCTCCTTCTAACTTTCTGAGGAGGCCTTTTTTTTTTTTTTTTTTTTTTTTTTTTTTTTTTTGTCCCCTTAAGAGCAGAAATATTAATTGGCTTTGATTTGTGGGACTAGGGCTTAAGAAAACCTGGTCATCTGGGCCTTAGAGGCAGTGTCAAGATTCATAAGCATTTGTTAAAGGGGGGGAGAAAAGGGGGAAGGAGTGTTTGTCTTCTTGGAGGTGAACTTGCAGAAAGCAGGCTACAGCCAGGTCCTCGGCACCATTGCTGTCCTGTGTGGTCACAGTGGGCAGTGCCCTGTCTCAGGGTGATACACAACTGTGTATGTGTGAGACTTCAGGCCTTTCCCAGAGCTACTGTAGAGAACATAGCCATTTACATCTTGCAAGGCAGGTGCCTGTCCTGAGGTTTTGCACAAGGCAGTAATAGTCCTTAGCCCATAGCATTTCAAGGTAAGTACCATCTTCATTTGCCCTGCATCCCTGACATCCCTGACAGCTGCACCCCCTTTTCTTAGCACATCCAGAAAAGTCACTTGTACCTTTACTGATAAATTAAAGATTATTTTTTGAACAATTGAGGTTGAAAACAAGAGGTTATAAATTTGCTGCCCAAGTATTAATGTATAGTCCTGTTCTAGCTTAAAGGATGATAAGCTCCTATCATCACATCTGTTTTCATCTTCAGGTCCCGTATTTTCTTTCCAGCTGTTAAAGCTGCAAGTTCATCACTGGCAGTGCTGCTTTCAACCTTTCTCCTTTCTTTTTTTTCTGTTATGCTAACTCCACCCTTTAGATATTTCTGGAGTAAGAAGCTGATATATGACTGTGCATGCCCTGTTCAGTTCTCCTTCCCCGGAAGTCTTGGGTACATAGCGACCATCTTCCTCTCCTGGTTTGCACTAAATTGGCTGGGCATGGGGGAGAGACAGTGCATAAACCAGTCAAATACTATTTATGTTCTTCCTGTAGCTGCTATTTGGACACACAAGGGCTATTGACCTGTTCCCATTGAGCCTCACCTCAGGATGTGCTTGGGAGAGATCAAGACCTTGGGATGTTACTTCCTTTCTGCTGAGGCTGAATGGTAGAAGTGATATAGTCACAATGGAAATAACCAGACAGGCAACCAGGAGTTCCATTTCTCCTCCTGCCTTCCTTTCCATATACTGGTAACGTTAAATGAAAGAGTAATATTGTTATTTCAGTGGTACTTTTTGCATACCTGAGGTGAAGCATGAGTATAAATACTTTGCTGGAGGTTAGCCATTGGGACTTGCTGCCCAAAGGGCTCTTTCCTCTGGGAGAAGTGATGCATGGGGCCGTGCCAGCAGGTGGAGGCCAGCAGGTGACTATAGATCCCAAAAGCCCTAAGATGTTGCTGTAGCCTCCAAGAAAAGGCCTCTGATGATGGAAAGAAAACCAACATCAGCTCGTGATGCTACTGTTTCTGGAGGTTATGAATTTAAAAGAAGGCAGCTTGAGGAACAGAGCATGGAAATCCCTGCTGATCAGGAGTGGGACTACTTTTCTTCTTTAAGAACATTTGCTCAGCTTTTTGATTTCCAGTGTTTTCAGTTGCCATATCAATATGAGAAGTTTGCCTGGCAATTGACAGTATTTTTTTCAATAGAAGATTTGAAAATTTAGCTCCATCAGCTCCAGCATCTGATTGCTGGGATTTCACTTTATCTTATTTTATTTTATTGGTAGTAATTGGTTTTCAGGAATTGCTAACAGGTGGCCAAGGATCCTCACCCTTCTTTTGGCAAAATGCAACTTACATTTTGAAATCTGTTTGTAGAAGCTAGAAGCCAGGTTGAAACATGCCAGACATCAGTAGTGGGGTTAAGCCTTGGATTGTATCCTTCCCAGGTGGCAGGCTGGGGAAAGGCACGAGCACTGATGGAAAGCACTGGATTAAAATAAGAGGCAGTTTTGGATTTTGCGTTGCTCTGAGGTGTAAATACAAAAGGCACAGTGGAAGGGAAGGAAGTTCTTCCTGACTTGGCCATTTGACAGTGTGTTGTTTTATTAGAATCCATTTCTCTCTTCCACCCCATCAACTGGGGAGACAGTAGGCTTCCCAGGGATAGTCCAGGATCTCAGTTTCCCCTTGCCCATCCATGTCTTCTCTCCACCCCATCCTTGGCTGTTCCTGGGTCACTGGTGTAAAAAAGGAATGGATCTGCCCAGCACAGATGAACATGAAGGGCCTTTTCAGTGGTGAATATACTGTTCGGTTTGTTGTGGGATTTTTTTTTTTCTTTAAAAGGAATGAGAATGGAAAACAAGAAAGTCAAAAGGCCCTGAATCTTTATCTTTTTTAAGTGGAGACACCGCCACAGCAGGACATAATGGCTTGCTGTGGTGGTGGTTTGCCTGAGAGCCTGGAGATTTATGTAATGAGAAACACAATTCCTGTAAAGAACATTGTTAAACCTTTTCAAAATTTCAGCTATAAGCCATTTTATTGCTAATAACATGGCTAGATTCTCCTTTTGAAGAATCTGGGAATGTTTGACAAGAGGGGAAAATGGAGAGGACTTGAGGCACCATGATCTGTATTTTCCATTTACCTTGCTTGAAGCTTGAACAACACATGTGCCACAAATGATTTGTTTATTCCTAAGCGCCCCCAAGGAGCCCCGTCTCCATTCTCAGGCATATAATGGCTATTCAAATGAAAGCTTTAATAGATTGTTGCAGATCTGATATCAGTGTGGCGAGAGAAAGAGATATGCAAATATTCAAAATTAAACAAACTAGCTCTTGCCCTTTGCCTTTGGAGGTGCAGTCTCAGGTCTGGATTGTATCACCAATGCAATGAGTCTGCTAGGCTCAGCTCTCTGGAGAATTAAATCTCTTTTCTCTCTTTTTCCAGCTTGTCTCACAAAACTGCCACATTGTCAGTAGTATTTGCTGTAGTACTCAGGCTGAGAACCTGGACTGAAACACATGGTGTACTCTGAGTTGAGACTGAGAAATGTTGGTGGGATAAGCTTCTGCTGTGCTGGTTTGCTTTATGTTCCCTTAGACCAGGATCTGTAACTTCAGTGCCTCTCTGGTCAATTTCCCCACGCTGCACAAACAGTTCAGGAAGAGTGAAAGTCACTTGCCATGAGTTTAGACTACAGCCTAAACACCATTTGGTTTTGACCACACCGCAAGACAACACAGGAGCTGTACTGGTTCTTGACACAGTCCCCATTTCCCCTTTTTTTCCTGTGATGTGCATAAGAGTGATGCCCAAAAAACACGTACAAATTTAAGAATGACACGTCATCCACATTGAGCCTATGCCAGCAGCTCCTGTGTGCATTGAACAGCAGGCAAAATAATAATTTTACATCAAAAACACCATAAAAGTTTTCATTGTCTTCTGGACTCTGGTAAAACTGCTATTATCTTGCCCAACCCCCAAGGCTTTTCACACAATTACCAGTTAGGCTGTGTGGATTTCAAGAAAGGCAGTATCTGAAATGTGGCCACATCGGGGGTGGCAAAAGTAGCAGCAGCTCCCAGTAAGAAGTGGAACTCAGCCTGTTGGAGTTTGTAGGCTCTTGGAGATCCCACATTTGGAATAGGGCCATTCTACTTATTAGCCTCAAACCTGTGGGCAGTGGCTTTCTGTTCTCCACTTGCACACCCTTAGGTGTAACCCATGAATCCCTAGGGACCTAGAAAACCTCTGAGCTACAGCATGAGTGGTTAGAAAAGAGAGCCCAGTGCTCAGCCATGGGAGGAACCTTGCTTTGGCTGGGGTCTGTGGGCTGTAATAGGGGCCGGAGTATAGCAGAGGTGGTGTGAGAAGCAGGCTTACTTTCCTGTCATTCTGCTTCAGTAATGTGAACTAAGGCTGGGCACCTGGGGTGAGGGGCTGGAGGATCGAATGAGAGCAGATGAAGAAGAAGCCTGTCTATTAGCATTAATTCAGCTAGCTGCTTATTTTGGAACCTAGGGAGGAAACTACTTCCAGCCCAAATGATAGAAAATGTCTTTGTTTGCAAATGTGAGTGGTGTCATACAGAAGTATTCTTCAAAACTATTTCATAAGAGTGTTTGGAGCCACGGCCAAATCCTGTGTATAAGTATGGCTAGACAGTTGGCTCCTACTTGGAATTAAAGACGATCTCTGAAAACTGTGGCTGTGTTTAAACACGAACTGGGTTGTAAGCTTCTTATGGTCTGTGGTTACCAGGAAAAAAAAAAAGCTGACTCATAGCAGGAGATTAGGTTGGCACATCCTCATGCAACCATCCCTGGTCGCTGAGGTGTCCAGGATGTGTTGCTTGAGATCCCAAGCACCTACTGCTCCTGTGTAATTCCCCTGGTAGCATGCGAGGTAAATATTTTTTAAGGGCTTCAGATGAGAGGTAGCACACAAGTGAAGACAGAAAATTGACTTCTCTGAAGTTTTTCTGAAATGCGTGCCCGATCCAAACAGGCACACCCAGATTCCTCAGAAGTGTCAGTTCCTGATGACAACAGAGACCAGCACAGATTTCCCTAATAACATCACCAAGCTCCTCATCTCTGCACACAGCCCTCCCTGGGCAGTGTGTGGAAAGCAGAGTTGTATAGGAATTTTGCAATTAAGCATTTTTCTATTTTGAGAATATTAATTGAAAACTGATAAGTCTTGCAGGAAATTCTTGGTTTTGGCATATTTCACATTCAGTTTAAAATGCCTTGACTTGGTCAGCTTATTATAACAAAAGATATTATTTTTCAAACAAAAGCACATGATTATCTAGGAAAAATTATGTGAAATAAAAAAATAATATTTAATCATGAAATAATGCAAAAGGACTTCATTAAGATCCAAACAGGCTATAATCAATTTTGTTCCTTTCAGATTACTGGTTTCAGAAATTGAGATTACCATTTCTGGTCCTATTTAAAATCGAGGAAGAAATGTGAAATTCTGAAATCTTTTCATGACTGAAAAACAGCTTTCCACCAAGATCCCCTCAAATGAGATTGCAGAAATTCTTCTTTCTCCTTCTTCCCTGGCTCCCTTATCATGCAATTCTCTTCATGCTGTTCTCCAAGACCAAATCTGAGCCAGCCTGAGATTTGTGCTAACGGTGAGTGCCTGCCTTTTTTTTTTTTTTTTTTTCTTTTAAATAAAACAATTTCCTAAGGCATTGAAATGGGCCTGATAAAAAGCTGCTTTTAAAATTCATTTTAGTAAATAGTTTGAAGCCAGACCATAAAGCCTTATAACTGTAGGTTTGCCCTTAATTGTACCTCACTGACAGCCCATTTTCCTTCTCCTTTGCAAGCACTCTCGTTTTTCTTTAATAGCAAAACATATTGTATGCTACTTTTGAAAGATTCCTGGGTTTTCACACAAAGTGAGCAAGATCTGTAGGTAAACAGTGTCACCTAGTGGATAAATGGCTTCAACTTTTCCAAACTGTGGAAGAAGTTTGTGTGTTTTTTCCATTTTTTTTTCCCAGGGAAAAAAAATTGGAATAGGGCCCTGTTTTGAGAACTGGGATTATTTCCAAATCAATACAAAATTAAACATGCAGAATGTGGTGGCCAGCAGTGGGCTGGAATATGTAAGTAATGTGCATGGGCATGGATCCATTCACATCAGCACATACAAAAGGGAGAGCAGATTCTCCAGCTCACTGCTTGAACAGGGAAAGGTTAAAGCAACAGAACATGAACTACTTGTTTCCTGGATGTGTGAAGGCGTACCAAATTCCACAGTAATCTCCTGCACCCTTGGCTGCTCCTCTCCAAGCAGTGAGAGAATTTCAGTAGGTGACTTTGGTATGTGATCAGCTAAGGCAACTGAGCAGTGAAAATTAAAATTTGTGAAGTACTTTGTGGTGAGAGTTTTGGCAGAAAGCATCTGAACGCTGGGGAAGAAGCATAAACTCCATAGAAAAATCTTACCCTGAGAGGGTGGGATGATGACTATGGGGATGTGGTGGTGGAATCTATGAGAAATGCTATGTAGAGAAAGCAGGAGGTATGACAAGGCTCAAAGAGCTTCTGAGTAAGAAGTAATAGTTTGGAAGTTCAGGGCATGATAGCTTCAATAAAGTGTAAAATACCCCAGAAAGAAGGATATGCTCCTAAAAACTAGAGGAGGCTGGATAACCTGAAGTCCACTTACAGTTCTTAGGTTTATGCATTCTAACTACAGCGCTGTCAGGATCTCTCATTTGGACTCATGATGAATGCAGTTTGCCTGGGGTTTTGCTGTCTGTCATCTCTTCCTGCCTATGGCTAAAGCAAGCCCTACCAAGGGGTCAGTCAGTGGTTATGTGGCTCTGACAAAGCAAGGCCATGGTTTCACTAGTGATGTTAAGAGAAAGCGGAATATGAGGGACTGCATTTTCTCTAGGAAAATTCTATCCAGTGTGCTGAATCTAGTTGGAAAATGCTTATGCGCAGTGATGGGCTGGAGCCTTCAGTCATGATGTGCCCTACAAAGCCAAGCCTTGGTCTAGTTCCAGTTCAGCAATTGATCTAGAGGTTATTATCAGTCCTAATGTATAGGCCAGTCATGAAAAACAGGCAGATTATGTGAGGTAAGGAAGATAAAGATGACCTGCCTGACTTGTAGGCCTTGTTTCTGTGGCCTCCAGGTGCTGGCTGTGGAACCAGTCCCACACTAAACACTTAGACCTAGATCTTACACTGACGTGGGTTTGGTCAAAGCAATAAGCCAGAACATTTTGAAGAATGTATGAAGGTATGTTACAGATGTAGCCAGAATGATAACTATCTAGCTTTCATAGTTCAGGAAACCTGAACACTAGTTCTTAAATACCTTTCAAATAAAAGAAAAAGTAACGATTGATTTTTGTGGCAGGTTATTCCACTAACTTTCTGTTTGGCTTCCATTTTCACCATTTTTGTCATGTATCAAGTGGATATTCTGTCATTCTTCTCCAAAGGGTGAAAGTGATTATCATGAAAAGCCCAAAGAGCTCTGCATATGAGCAAATCTAAAATATGCTGCAAGTTGGGACACTTTCTCACTTAACTATACACTGCTTCCAAAACAAACACTGTCATAACTGTATTTACTCTATTAGATGGTCTTCTTCCAAACAATTTAATTTTTTTTTTATTTTTATTTTTTTTTAGTAGACCTCTTGGACCAGTTCCCATTGATTAAATCATTGGAAAGCACCATCTTCTGATGGTCCTCACTGTGGACATTAGATGGTGTGGGCATATCACTTTGATTATTCAGTGCCTCGGTTTCCTTCCCATTAACATGAGCTCTACGCTAACTTTCCATGGTGCTTTTATCCTAGGGATCTCAAAGCTCTCTTCTTAGTTATCCTCAAATCATTAATACATCAGATTTTTTCACTTTTCTCAAAGAGAAAACAATACTAGGATTCTTTTGCTCATTAAGGTGTTAATGGTGAAGAAGCCTGCTGAGTTCAGTTATACTATGAAACATAAACACAGCAAATGAGTTACTATACTAGTGCAAGCAGAAGTAAGGAAAAAAGCCTGGGTGGATCAAGGTTCCCACTCCTGAAGACAAGAAAAGGAAGGAAGAAAAATAGCACCTGGAAAATGTTGCTCTTATCCTCCTCTGGAAAGACCCACTAGTTAATATTAATTAAACAAAAATTCATTGACTCTGTATAATCCTCTTTTGCTTCTTGGCAAAAATACTCATAATGAAGTCTAGATTTTTTTATTCCTTTAATGTTAAGAATCAACTCCTGTTCCACCAGGAAACTGTAATTTCTTCACCTATGAACATCTAGTTTGAAGTCTGAGAAAGGTTGGCAAATCTCTGTAATGGTGTGTAATGACAACCCAAACATTTCAACATTCCCAGTCCGGATTGCTGCCACCAGCAGTCTGCTGGATGCTTGTGCTTGGCCTCTGGCTGCGCTCGCTCCTGGATCTGTGTGTTCTGATGGCACTGAGCCCAGGAGGGCCTGCCAGGTCCTGGGGATGCAGGTACTGCATAAAGAGGGGTTTTGTGGGCAGCTTGCCTAAAGCTGTGAGTGGCATTGCCACCTAAAAAGTACCCTTCCCTCTGTGATTGTGACATGAGTCCCCCTAGAGCTCTTTTGGCACATGTGTATATGAACAGGTCCAAGTGAAGGGACAAGACTACTGTGTGGGCAACCATTGTCAACGAGGAAAATTGCATTGCTTAGGTAGACAAGGTACCTCTAGCAGACAGGAAAGGATATAAAAGCATAATCACATTGTCATCCATCCCTCAGGCTGAATGATGATTCAGGGCAAGCAGCAACTGAGGAAAGGGGCTGGTCATGAAATACTGTGTGTCTTTGTGTACCCACAAACACAGTCCTGTTTGGAAACTTTCAGTTCTTTTTCTCTTTTTGTGTAAAATCAAGTTTCATTTTGAAAAAAGACCATTACAAGTCTGTATTTTTGTTAATTGTAAGGTGATCTTTCTGGACAATAACAATATTCTATTTCTGAGTTGCAACAAAAAGTTAGAAAATCTTCACTGTGAGTGGACACTTTTAAGCCCTTCCTTGCTCTAAAAGGTTCATTGATCATCTGCTTTTGGAATCCAAAATTATGAGGGAGAATGAGGCATCTTGTATCCAGCCCTATGAATGTGGTCTGTGGAGGGCATCCATTGACCCCAGCTCCAGTAATACGGTCTATTACATGTTAGGAGTGCAAAGCAACACAATTTGTCAGCTACAAGAGAGTGGAGGAAAATTCTCCATACTGCCTATTCAGATTTTCCAGAAGTGCTACAAAATAATTTTATCTCTACAATAAACCATTTCACATTCATCCTCAGAGCAGTTCATACCTTTCCATGGGAAAATATCTGGGCAGGAGCTGAAGGAAAGCTTTCCCTTCAGATTTGCCCTTTCTGAAGAAGCAGCTCTGTTTACCAGCTCAGCAGGGAGGTGAAGGTCCCCATCAGGACCACGTCTGGCCATGCCTCTCTCTTGTCCGAGCTGATTCAATGAACCCAGGTACCTGAATTGCTTCTGCTTTCTCACCTCCATGGTGCAGCTTCCAGCTTGGGTGCTTGTGCCTCCACGCTTGCAGTGCTTCTTTCATACTGGCTGTAGAGATGACTGTGGACACATGCTTGTATCATTTGTGTTCTTTCAGTATTCTCATCAGGGGAGTGGAAAGGCTAGAAGGTTATTCAGTGGTGTCTCCAAAATGTTTGGAGGTCTCTGGCATTTCTGGTTTAATGCTGGCTGGTGTAAACTAATTTGCCCTCTTCTTCCCAGAGGCAAGATACCAATGTTAAACATAAGGAGGCAACCAGGAGGAGGTGATATCTTCTCTGTATTGGCAGAACTTCTGTCTCCAGTGGTTTCTTTCCAGCACCTTTCTCCATAGTAAATGCAGTGTAGACTCTTGTTCATGTTCTAAAGGTAACTTTAAACAGAATATTTTAAGCTGAGAATATTTTCCCAGCTCCTAGAAAGGGTTAGGCACCCAGCCCTCAGCAGGGCAAAGTGTCTGATTGCCATCAAACTAAGCAGCTGTATTCACCTTGCCTTGGATTTCTTTACAGGAGACAGGCTGATTCTTAAAAGGAAATGCTGAGGCCACACAGGTTGTCATGGCTCTAGTCTAACCAGGTGTAATGACTGAGGTTTGCAGGCGAGCTACAGTTAAGGGAAAAAATAAAAGATCACAGGTCAGATCCATCCCTGATGCAACTCCACCATCTTCAGTAAGAGTTACCCCTGGGTGAATCTGGATTCGTGTTCCTCACTCATAAAATAAAGCAAGATCCCTTCTGCAGCAGAATCAATTGGAAAAAGGGAAAGGAAAAAAAAAATGTTTTCTTCTAACCTATATGAAAAATAATCACTTTCTCTTGCACAGTGGGGCAGGGAAGGCCAGTCCTGCCAGACAACCAGAGTATAATTTCCTCAGCATGTCATAGTGGAAAAAATTGGCATAACCAAGGGGTCTCTTTCATCTCTGCTCAGTTCTAAACAGTACAGAGGAGAGGGAAAAGCATAAATTCTTGTATCTATATGGACAGATATTTGTGCTTCCTAGACTGATTGTGTGAGATCTGGAGGACTTTTGCACAGATACAGAGTGACTTAGAAATGAGGATTATATTCCTTTTGTTGATTAGACCTGTTGTTTAAAAATAGCTATATATATCTGTTATGGATGCCTGCTAGAGTTCTCACTGCTGTGTGGTGTTTTCTGTTTCAGCTTTCTCTTCCGTTTTGGCAGGTCTGTTGTGTACGTGAGCGCTACGGGAATGCAGAAAAGCCACCTGAGGGAGAAAATTGCTAATCACTAAAAATTACTAATCATTCTTTCACACTAAACAAACCCCACTGAGAGGTTTTTAGTTACACAAAGGTGGATTTTTTTCATTCCCCTTTTCCCTTTTTCCTCCAGCAGATGATACAGGGGTGTAAAACGGGAGATATCACATCCTACTATGCATTAGCTGTGGCATTTTCGCATGATAAGATCTAGGTCTGAGTCCAAAATAAAAGCACAATAGCCTGAGAAATCTTCTAATGCTCACCACTAACACTTTGCAACCAAAGCAGCAGGAAAAGGAATTAAGTCAGTCTCGAAATCATCTTTCCGAGATTATTTGTATTACAGTAATGGTGAGGTCCCCATGCTGAGACCGTGACCCCTGTGTGTTTGCACCCCAAAAAGAGCTTCAAATCTGAACAGATGAAGCAGAAGGTTGGAAGAAAAAAATAGTTTGATCTGCAATTCTAACAGGACACTGTAGGAATAAATGCTGATCTCAGGGTTGCTTTAGACCTCTCTAGCAAAGCTAGATGCTAAACCTACTTTTCAGTGTCCCCATCCTGACAAGAGGAGTCTTCTGCCTCCCACCACCACTTCCCTGCTCTTAGGAAGACCTTTGGTAGAACATCTCCAGGAGCACAAAGCTTTTTTTGAAGTCATCCAAGCATGGCTGAGGTTGGAAATAATCTTGTCCAATTGCCCTATTCAGGCAAGGCCACCTAGAACCAGCTGCCCAGGACCATGTCCAAACTACTCATTTGTCTTTGCTAGTGGGACTCAGAACACTTCACTTGCTGAAGTTTCTTTAGATCTAGCATGAGACAGCAGCAGAATGTGGGTCAGGTGAAAAGCTTGGGTGCTTGTTTCTGATTCCTTACACAGGTTTCCCAGTCCCGTAACACTGTGCTGTGGCTTCTCTTATGTAGTGGGTCTGGCTGAGTGAGCTACTTAGAAATTGTTGACAGCTTCCAGCAGCATTTCCTGGGGAATTTCCAGAAAATATGCATTCCTAGGCTTGTCACTGGATAACTGTCCAAAACTGAGGGTCAGAGCATTCACCATAAAGGAAAAAAAATCAGTGGCATCCTTGTCTATATTTAACTTTGCTACTGATGTATATTTAAAAAGTAAATCACTTTTGCTTGCTTACTTCATTTTGGACCTCAGAGCACCATTAAGCGTCTTCTGCTGATGAGAAAGATGAGGTTTTCATTCCTTTACAGGAATGGTTTTGTTTTCATTCCTTTAGCCCCTTTGGAAAGCACTTCAAGCTCTGGATTTCCTGAGAACTGTGGGGCAGCCAGGATTTCCTCAGGCTCAGCCATTCCACCACAGCCTGCAGGTGTGATCCTGTGGCCATGCAGCATTCCTGTTTCTCACCTGAGCAGAAAGAAAAGCCAAGACAACAAAATCACCTTGTTTTCAGTCCATCATCAGCAATTTCATCTTGTTATGCTCTACCACTTCAGAGGGCTTGTTTAACTAATTTTGACATATTTCTTGCAGTTTGATTCTTTGGACCAAATTTAGGGCTTCTGTAAGTTACATGGTTCTAGGTTCAAAAATTTGGAATAGATTTTTTTTTTTTTCTTTTGTCCTCCCTTGCTCCCCTTGTTGGTTTTCTTTTTTCCCATATTCTTGAACAAAGTAGACATCATCCCAATTGTGCCAAACAGATGCAATATGTTTTCTATCACTGCTGTAAATAGCCTGAAGTTTACCTTTTTGTGTCAGCTCTGATTATTCAGTTTGCAAAACACAAGGCCCTCTCCAGAGTGTTTTTACTGCATTTATAAAGAAATAATGGAAAACTAGTAACTGTTCTTAAAGAAAGGATGTCACGAAGCATGGCTACAGGTCTGCTCCTAATCTCTTCCCTGGACAGAACAAAGTAGAACAGTGCTCTCAAAACACTTCTATTTAATAACCAGATCCAGACTAGCTGCTGCTTTGCTACAGTGGGAGCAGTGATATTGGAATGCTGTCACTGAGCTTTAGGATTAACACCTCATGGGAAGCACCTGCGAGGAGCCAGCACTGTTGGCTCCACAGCCATCCTGGGACTGCAGCCCCCATGGGGTCCATGGAGCAGGTGCTGTCATCCATGTTCCTGCAGATTGCCTTGGTTTATGGCTTCTAAATCTCTAAGTATTTTGGCTTGGAATATTTGTCTCTGGAGAAGGCACACTGGAATTTTCTGAAGTGTTACATAATGTGATGTTTTGACACAATGATATTTTTAAGTTCACCTAATTCACTGAATTCCACCCTAGTTAGTAGTTTCAATACCTCAGAAATACCACTTGGCCATTTCTCAGAAGGACTTATTTCTCCTTTACTTCTTTCTCCAGGCATCAAAATGGGCTCCATGGAACATCTTTTGCATGGGAGGCGGCCAGTGATGACAGCAAGCTTTATCCATCACAAAACTGATGAATAGGGTCAAGGTGATCCTTCTCTCTGCACTGAAGAGTGAGAGAAACCTTTGATAAAACCCAAACAGAGAGATCTCCACCATTTCCTTCTGTCATATGTTGACCTCTGCATCCCTCAGTACCACTGGGATGGTATTGTGCACCCCACAGACCCAAAGAAGAGCAGTGACATAGCTGGAGAGGAGGAGCAGCGTCTGTTGTTACAAGGTGGTTGATAAAATTAATTGTACAGCTGCAAGAATACTTTTATATCATGATTACTAGAGCCACCCAAGGGTCTGTAAATGAGAGCTAAAGAGCATAATGAGAAAACCCAGCTACATTTGACCTGGCATTGAACCACCACATGCACCAGTCTTGCACAGTGCTACGGGGGAAGAGTTTGGTGTCATTTGCCATGAAGCTTTATAAATGCCTCAGGCATCCTTGAGGTAAGAGCACACTGAGTTAGTATACAAATATACATGTGTCTCAATGAAACAGATATTCAAGTGGCTTTGGGGTCAAAGCTAAAGGGCAGTTATCTCTGATCAGTGACAGTTGTGGGTTTTTGGTGTTTTTTTTTTTTTTTCTGCAGAATTCTGGGAATCCAAAAGCCCAGACAGCAAGAAAGTCTGAATTTAACAAAAGGAGAATTAAAGGAGATCCAAAACAGTCAGTAACTGCTGTAAAGATTCTGTTTTATGGTCAAGTTGTGCAACTACTATTATCAACCAGCTATGGGCATCAGTAGGAGACTGCAGTATTGCCATCAGGTGGGTTAGTCTTAATTACAAGGTGCTTATTCAGTCTAAGGAAAATACACTGCAGATTAGTCACTGGCACCCAAAATGGCATAATTAATTGGAGTAATTTATTAAGACAAATAGAGGGTCACAGCTAAGCATGGTGCTTAGAGTTAATTTACAGTTAACAAGGGTGCTCATTTAGCCTGCTAACAGAATGCATCTATGTTGAGAAAGGATTTCATCATGCTTTCAAGAAGAGCAGATACTGAGTTTTCTCTAGTGCTCTCATGCTATGTGACCTCACTGGTATAAATGTGTTTGCAGTATGGAAGGACTCATTCCTTTGTCCAGGTAAGATTAAAATGGTCTTTCTGAGCTAAATTTTTCCTCAGCTGACTGTCTCTAATAATCAAAGTGCAGTAAAAACATACTTTAATTTTTTTTTGTCTTGCATTTCCTGAATCTTCTATATGCTTACAATCAGTGCTGATCCTCAACTAGTTTGTAAGATATTTCTCATGAGATCATATGTTGTTTATGTACAGTCCCAACTCAATCCAAAAGTGGTACTATAAACCAAGCCAAAATACTTTCTTGGGAAGTTGTGCTGATTGAAGTTGAAGTGTTGGTGCTGCTGTTGGCTCGTCGTTACTCCACACTACCTGCAAATTGGGTGGAGAACACCTTCAGCTGAGCCTTTTAATTGCTCCATTAAAAATGATATGGGAGCAGCCCCTAATCTCTTCTCATAGAGACTTTCCATGCAGCCCCTCACTGCCAAAACCTCACCGTATAAACACAATGCAACAGGTACAATTCTGTTTTGTGGGTGGGGGGGGAAGGTATTGTGAAACCTTGTAGATATCTGATCTGTATTTCTGATCAACCGTGTTTATTGCCTACTCTCTGTAAACTCATTTTATCTACTGCTCTTTCCTATTAGATGTTCATGCTAGCAGGGATTGCAGTGAGCTGAGATCTCATCATAATGTTCTAGTTTTTTCACATTGCTGGTCACTCTGCCCTAACCCTAGATGTATGTACTGAATAACCACATTGTTCATTTATAATGTCCTTGGCTTTTCTATAGCCTTGTCCCTGTGATATTACTTGTGGACACAGTGGGCTAGATTGAAGACAGTGAACTTAAAAGTAGTGATGTATGCAGCTATGTAACTGTGAGAAGAAATGTATTGATTCCACATACTTCCTTTTCTAACCTGCTGTAAGGTGTTTCATCATGTGGGACGTCATGGAGATCTTATATTTGTTACTTAACATACATTGAAAGGTCTGACTTCTCTTTCTTGCTGGCTTTCTGAATGGAAAAAGCTGTTGTTAACATGTCTTGCGTGTCAGAGATCAGGCTGTTCATGACAGCTTATGAAGCTTTGAACATATATAGTAATAGAGAGGAATAGCAAACTGTTATATTAATGTAGCTAAAGCACAAAAAGCGAAACTATTGACCTTGCCGGCTCTGCATTTGGGGCAAATGTTACTGCGGTGAATGGAGTAACTTTAACTGGCCTTATAGTGAAGTTGTTTTTAAATTTTTTTTCACATGTTTTGATCTGATAGATTGATCTGAATGCCTAAGAAGGGCTGGGCACAATTCTAAAGATAGTTACAATTTTGCAAATGTCAGGAATTGTTTTTTGGTGAAAACTTTGCTTTTGGATAAAGAGGATAGTACTGGAATAGAAGCCAGAATGATTTTCATTGGTTTATGGATCACTGAAAAGCCTGTTATTAATTTCATTTTCTGAAATGATGCCCTTTTAAACCAGCCAAACAAAAAGCCTTTACTGTCTCTCATGCCTGGTATGGCATCACTGTTCAGTGGATAGAACAAGTAGGTATGGAATAGGTGCACAGCCTGCACAAGTTTAACACGTGGCAGCTCTTGACCTCCTTGAGACAAAAGATTCTGTGTGTTTTAGTGGCTGCTTCCTGAAGTATACAAAAGATACTGCAAAAACATACAAGAGATCAATGTGTCATGAGGTGCAGATAAACTACAGGGAGAGTCAGAGTGCTCAGCTGCTTTCCATTCATTTTCCCCTGAGTCTGACAAAAAAAAAATCATCCTGGCAGGGCAGTGGGTGGAAGACAAGGCACAGCAGCAGCTGTTGCCCAGATTTGGGCATGGTAGATGCCTGTCCAAGGCACTCATTTAATGGAAGTGTGCCTTGCATTGCCCAGTGCCATTGAAAAAAGCTGCTCTTTCTGCCAAGGCCAGCCCTCAAGTGGGAACACAGTGCTGTTCCCCAGCCCTGCACTGAGCCTCCCAAAGCTGCTGCCCTTCACCCTGCTGGTGCTTCCTCAGGCCCCATGGCACGGGGAGCGTGCTGGGGAAGCCCGTGCCGTGGCCATTAGTACTGCACTGACAGCAGCCTCTGCAGATAACGAGAAGCCCTTCTGCCTCGCTGCTATTAAACCGCTGCCTTTTCACGAGAGGAATCCTGAATTCTTCCTCAAACCTAAACAAAAAAGTGAACCTTTTATTCGTTTCATCATTATCTAGGGCTGCCACATTCAAATGATTCTCCAGCAGTCCCTTCATTTCCGAGTGCACACGTCGAGAAGGGATTGGAAGCCTTTTGATTAAGAATAAGAGGTGATGACACTACAACCAGTGCAGGGTTGTCATCATTACCGTGTACCTGCACTTCCACAGAGCTCTCGCTCTGGGTTGCCTCTGATATAAAGCTGCTGTACTCTGTGCCCTAATTGAATGGAACTATTTTATAAACATGCGTTCCCTGAATCCCAGAAAAGATCCTTTTAGAGGGGAAGATATGGGGAGGGTGGTGGGGAGGTGGGGAGCTAGATGGGCTCAGTTCCTGGCAGACCAATTTTGTGTGTGAGAGAGATTTCTTTGTTCCCTGCAAAACTGCTTGTTGCCTATGGGGGGATATATAGTTTTTTCTTCTACGAGTCAAATGAATTATCTGACCACCCACTTTTAATCCTGTGATTTTCTGCCTTTGACCTGGATTACAAGTCACCTATGGCCACCTCTAGCGCACAGCTGGCTGTAAGTTTACACAGGACTGCTAAGGGAAAACATCCATTCCTGCCTGGCCCCATTTGTTGACTGTTGATGTCTGATACTCTGCCTTTCTGACTTGGTCACAGTAACAATCTTCAGTTATCAGTGCAGGGGAAAGACCTGCACCTACCCAGTATGGAGCTCTCATCTGTCTCATAACGTTTGTATTCCTGTGTATGCACTAAACCTGCACCACTTACAGCAGAGCAGAGCTCTGCAAATTACTCTTTAAGCTGTGTTCCTGTTTTCAGGTGTTCTGTAATCCTGCACTGGAGATTTACTGTTTTCCAGGTGAAATTTTAAGTCTTGATTTTGAGCAATATTCTTCACCTGGCCAATTCCTCATTGCCATGTGATATAACTGCAGATCTTATGGCTATGGGTGCTGTACCTGAGCCCCAGGGCTGCAGAAGCTGTCCTGGGCTGGTGCTTTCTTGGAAACTGGTCCCACGGTTACAGTTTAAATAGTTAAAATAATCTTCTTTATCCATGTATTTAAATGTGAAGGGCTTTGATTGTTAAACTGCATTTTCCCAGGAGCCTACACTTTAGTGTGAATACTTTAAAACTGCTATATGAGGTTGTATTAATAGACAACAAAATTACAGCCAATTTCTGGCACTATTTCAATAGCTATGTATGAAATTTACCGCATAAGGGATGTTGAGTTAAAAGTGGTCAGAGGAGTTACTTTTATCTTGGCTTACATATAGCATTACATTTACACCTGAACACAGGGTGAATTATCATCCAGAGGAGTTGAGAAGGAATCTCTTTTCTCCAGGAATGGCAATTATATTTGATTAGGTACATGGGAGCTTTTTCCTCTCCTGGCCAAGGAGCCAAGGGCAGTGCTTTGAAGACACCCAGCCTCATGATCAAGGTGTAAAGCATAATGACAAATGTGAAGTTCCTGCAGGGTCAGAGTCAGCTGCAGTAGTTCAGGGGAAAGGGCATCGGACTGGGACTTGAGAGGCTTGACTTGAGTGCCCTGTTCTTCCACTGGGCTGCAGGACAAATCACTTCCTTTCTGTGCCACAGTTTCCTTATCTGTGAAAAAGTGGTAATGAGCCTTTCTTCTTCATTCCTCTTTGTAATTTCTCCAAGAGCTGCAGGTAAAACATGCTCTACAAGCACTTGGTATTACTGTGTTGGATTTCTGGGATTTTTCACGTGTGATATCCTAATGCAAGGAGAGGCTTCAGATTTGCAGACATCAGCTCAAGGGCCGTGGTGTTTTTTGTCCTGCTGTTAACAGCTCTTCCCCAAAATCATTTGGATGTGCAGGCAGGACTCCAATTTTGTTTTTTTAGGATATCTGCAGCTTGCAATCTTAGTGCAACAGGATTTGCTAGTCAAGCATAGCCCTCAGACAAAAGCACCTGGAGGATGTGCCTTTCAGATGCTCTCCTTTGCACAAGGAGCCCTCTGTCCTTTTCCCTCTGGTCTTTGCAGGTCCCCTGCCAGGAGGTCTCCATGCCTGTGGTCATCAAGAGTTTGCCAACATGATGGGGAGGGGGAGGAGGGAAAAAAAAATCCCCTTGACGTGTGCAGTAATCTAAGCCTTGTTCCAAATATGTTTGTTTAAGCATTGTTAAGGGTGGCTCTTTCCTGTCCCTATCACTTCTGCCCTTGTGTCTTTGTTTCAAGACGGGAGGGGGCTGTCGGAGAGGTGGGGGCTCTCTGTGATGTGACCTGGGGCTCTTTGTTCAACAACATGTGCAAGGTCCCAATCACTTCCTAATGAAACACTTTGGGATGGAGAGTCCTGACTGTGAGGTGATACCCCACTGAGTGTCAGAGCAGGCGGGATGTGCACGATGCACTTTAGTTTGGGTCATTTGAAGTGATAGATGCAGGAGGATGGCAGATTAGTTCCTGCTGAAATCTGAGGAGCTGCCTGTGTTGGTGCATGTCACCCAGTGCTCAGCAAATGCATTCAGATGAAACAGCTGAAATCTTGGGTTTCAGGCCTAAGTGACCGCTACAGGCACTAGTAGTTCCTGCCTGTGGAATAAACATTTACTGAACACTCTTCAGTTTAATAACACTTAGTGCAGCAAGCAGTCGCTCACCACCCTGTGCCTCTTATTGCTATTGTGACAATCCAAATGCTACCAGGACCACAAATATGTCATTCTCTCTTAGAAGTACTTCACTAATAAATTGCTTAACTTCTCTTCCCTTGACCAGAAGTCAGGGTGCAGTACTTGCTTGTATTTGAGCCTACCGTGTTGTTTTTCCCTTATCTGTTCCCTGGAGTTGGAGTGCAGGGCACTAATGGGAGATGTAGGGACTGCAGCCTTTCCACTAACAAATTATGCAGCTGGTGCTTGCTGATACTGGTAATCTGTGATACAAAATCACTCTGTCCAAGGCCACGTTCCCTTCTCCACCTCTCCAGCTTGTCCACTGAACACTATCAGAAGTTTTGAATAGTGCAGCATAATTTTTGCACAGTGCTGTGTGCTACAGGACTCCATCCTGGGAGAGATTTTTTAATGATACGTCTATTTCTTGGAAAGGATCCTGGTTCTTGACTCCTGGCCAAGCACATTGTCTGCAGTGGGATCTTCTTCTGGGGTGGGACCTCCATGATGCTACAGCGTATTTATGAACAAGGACCGCTCACAGTAAGGGGAACTTTTATGCAAGGGAAGTTGTATCTGTGAACACGTATAGCAGTCTGGGTACTTGGCAATACAACATCTTCAAGATGGTCAAGATTACAAAGAATTAGAAAATGTTTCTTTGCATTTCTTCAGGCCTTTCTGAGTATTTTACCCTGGAATCAAATTTCTCCTCCTGTTTTCAGAATTTAGTGAGCCAACCCTGGAATAAGGGATTTGTCAACTGGAAATTAGGAAGCATTTGACTTTGACACTAAAATTAATTAAAGTGCTATTACATTGATCTCTCCAGCATCTGTTCTGCTTGTATGCAGAAATGCTAGTGTGCGCTATGGGGCCATTTCATACTGGTGGAATTGGATGCTGTGATCAGCCATATGCTGATAAAATTATTCTTTTGTCACTGTGTCTGCCTGGAATTGCTTTGGGAGCTGGAAACATTCACAGCAACAATGCTCGTAGCTGAGTGCCTTAAGACTGTTGATGTGAAAGGGACTTTTGGTATAGTTCCACTCCCTACCTATATGCCATACGTACTGGTTGGCAAGCACCTTCCTCTGTGAGCATCTAGATGTAGGCTTTAAGAGCATTTATGTTTTGAGACTCAACTTTGTTTACTGAATGGGGTATCCATTCATCTAATCCAGTTGAATCCAGTAGCTCCACTGTCACTTTGGGGGGATTTGGTCAGACCCCAGAGAAGTCAGATTAGAAGAAAGCTGACACAGAAACACTTCTGAGCAGGTCAAGTGGAAGGTAAAGGCAATTAGTTTGGTTTGTTGGATGGTCCTTGGTGACCTATCTGTGTTATGCTTGTGCAGCTTATGGATAGTATGGTCACAGGCACCAAATTCCACCAAGGTATATAAGGTTTGTATGGCAAACAACAGTGCTTTGCCTTCCTCTATTGTTTGTGTCCGGAATATGAGCCCCTCTTTCAGTAGGCATGAAGGATGTGAGTCTTTTCAGATGCTGAGAGCACAACTAGAGAGAAGGAAAATGAATCAGCCATTATGGAGATTTGTTGAGTAATGCCTCAGTCCAGAGGCTATCTGCATTCTTCTCAGTGTGGTCAGCACTGCACATGGAGCTCTGTAAGGATTTTAAAATAATAACGATGATGACAAGGTCCAAATCCATCCATGACTAAACATAATGCTGATGATGAGCAGAGCCTTGTCTGATTGCCTGGGTATCTTCCATATCTGTAATTAGTTCCTAAGTATGCACCTGAAACACAGCTGTTGCGAGCTTTTTTAGGAAAAATGACCATTTAAAAATGGGCATTGTGTTGGAGAATTTTCAGTAGTTTCTGTTTACAGTTGAAAGCAATTCTCTTTGAGCCTTGAAAAGGATGTAATTATTTGCTTTTACAATTAATGCCATAGAAATGGCTAGCTATTGTTGCATGTTCCTTGAAAACACGCTATCGCTTTTGATGACTGTGATATTATTAATCAGTTAATTATCATCCCTGGATTAAAATAAAAATATTCAAGTAATCACAAATGCTTTCCCTTTACAGAATTCATCTGAATGTTTCTGAGTGTGCATGGGTGCTGCTGAGCACTTGTTCTGAGTGCGCTGCAGCTTCACACATAACAGCCATGCTCTGGTGTGCATGGGCACAACCTGAGGTTGTATGCAAGTCCCTGGAAGGCTGTGCTTTGTGACAACTCCATCAGATGTCACTATGAGGTATTTGTCTGTCAGCAGTGGGCAGCTAAGTGATTAGCTGACACAGCCACTCATGGCATGGGTCACTGCCAAAACAGACAGGTTAAAAATTCAAGACATTTGTTCCAACTCCTCCCAGATGTCTTGCCTACTTCTTTCAGTTATTGGCTCTGTTGTCTTGTGCAGCCAAAATAACATATGTTGGCACTTAAAACAAGCTGTTTAAAAATAACCCATGGCGGGCAGAAATACTGAATTTATTTGTTTGGAGGGGAATATTTGTGGCCTTGCTAGGGCTACATTTTCTGCTTCGTCTTCCATGCAGAGTACTGCTTGTGTCTGTGTTTGAATCAGTATATTTGGCTCAATCACCAAATTAATTTTCTTAACTCTGGCATCAGTTTTTTGTGTGCTGTTTTCACACACTCATGAAGAACCAGATCACCCATCAAGCTGGTTTTAAAAAGCAGATACAGCTCTTTCTGTCTGCAGAGGAGCAGCTATCAGAATCCATGCTGCAGTGGGAGATTTGTTTTTCTTAAGTTACTTTCCAGATTTTTCCCTCCCATCCTTGAGCAGGATTTGCATGAACTACAGCCAAGGGATAGTGTGGTGTTGTTTATTCCAGACAAACAACAGAAAAGAGATAGTGTCATAGTATTATAGAAAAGGAGTAGAAACAAGTGTTGTGATTGTGAGCTGTAACAAAGATGATCATAAACAAGCAGCAGGTATCTACAGTAAAGGTGATTGCTTCATAAATGGACAGCCCGTTCTTGTTAATGGAGGGTTAAGAATTGCCTTCCATTTAACATTTAAATTTTTTTGAGCATTACCCTGACGGTATGCTACATCAAAGTTTCATAAGGGCCTGGTTTCTTGAATTGCCTCCTCTTCACTCATGCATGTGATTCTCTCTTGAAGTGGTAATGGCTGGTGATGAAAGCTGAGGGATGGGCGCAAGGTGATCCTGCCAGCCAAAAAAGTTGCATAGATGGAGGAAGCTGAAGAGTAGTTTTCATGAAATATAAAAGAGGCTGGTGTGATTGAAAGTCAGGGGATATATTTAGATGGAATAGGATCATATGCTTTGTCTAGTTTCCATGGTGTCAAAGTCATAGTTAAATCCTTATATCATAAAAAAAAACAAGCAGAAACATACTCTTTTAAATTTTGATTATGTGTCAGAGGGGCAGTAGGGTTTGAAGATCTCGTCAACAGACAAAACAGAGAAGTCTTATTCTTTTGTAGGTTTCAGTGCAAAAGAGATGCTAGTCAGCTGGCAGCAAATATGAATGTTGAGAAAGTCAAGTCAAAGAACAGTTTTTACTTTGTGTACAAAGGATGTTATATAACTTAAACTAGGCCTATGTTCTATTAAAATTAAGGTTTTTTACTTCAGCCTCAGAAAGCAAAGCTAATCAGAATCTGAAAGCCAGATGTTCTGCTGTCAGCTTTCTGAAGAAGACACGCTTTTTTTCTGGTGATGCTCACATGCATGCTTCTCTGCAGCATTTTGGTAGTCCTGTCTCAAGATTCTGAGTCCTTGAAGTTACACAGGTCTGTGGATGCCAGCAGCTCTGCAATAGCAAGCCATGGCTATGCATTCAGGTTAGTTACTGCCAAAGTCTAACTGATCTGGATTATTTCCTACTGGAAAGTGCTTGAACTGAAGCAGAATGAATTTTGCATGCAGGACTGTTTGCCTGAGTTTTACTGTTTTCCATCTTAAATGCTGAAGTCGGTCCCCAGAAGAAATAAGCAGCTTGCCAGAGACTGAACAGAAAGGCACAGACTACACAGAGGAAGACGTGGGGAGTGGTGACTCCCAAGATGTATTCATCAGTTGGCAGATTGCTCTGGCCTACCAGCAAGCACCACAAGGAGAATTAGCTACTTAAATGAGATGTTTTTAGAGGGACTTTTTTTTAGCAACGTTCTCTTCTGTTTGTTTGGTAGAGGAAAGCATGGGATATTAGCCAGAATTCTATATATTCCTACAAAGGCCAAATGTTATTCAAGCATCATGACTAATAAGAGCAGGATTTAGCCATGCATGTTTGTTCTGTGGTCTTTTAAAGCCCTGGTTCTGTGCTCTACACTATTCGATTCTGAACTGGGGGATGCTCCCCATTTCCTAACAGGCAAGGTATATTCACGTGAGAAGCTCTAAAGCTCAATGAATTCATTAATTAGGAAAGGCTGGAGGAGAGAGGCCTTCATCTAGCTCTCTTGCTGAATTCTTGCAAGAAAAATGTTCAGCCTCAAGTATATTTAAATTTTTACTGCCAGGTTAAACCCTTGCACAAAAAAAAATCTTACAATGGAACTGCTGACAGGTCCTTAACTATAGTAGCAGTCGCAGTCTCTGCCATAATAAAGATATTGCATGTTATCAATAATCCTCTTTCTGCTTGAATCCCTGTCTTTCTAAAGAGAAAGGGCTTACTGACTGGGCAAATCTATTTATAAATTTTGTCTTGGCACAAGAAGAACTACACTGACAATGCAGTGGTGATCTGGGGAGGCAGCTGGTCTGATTGCACACAAGCAGCAAGCTGAGTGTCAAAGCAGGGCTCTTAAATTTTCTCTCATTCCTCTAAAAGAGTGGGGCGAATCAGGAAAAAAAAAATGCGTTCTTTGAACAAGATAGATCAGAAAAGTTACAAGAGATTGAGTAAACTGTCACACTTGGCACACTGAAGGGCTTTCACATACTGCTCACCATTGCATGGAGTCATATGAACTGGGGGCTGGTGTGTGTGTATGTGTATTTGTATAGAGGGATGGATACCACAACTGCCCAAGCTGATAAGGGACAGTCTTTCTTGGGGTTGATGATATTTTGCTTTGAATAAAGTGATGGAGAGGTAAAGCTGGAAGGGAAAGCAATAAGATCACAAGGAGGACACTCAATTTTTCCCTCCGGGTCATTTAAAAAGGATGTTTCTATTTGAATATGCTGTGGTAGATTTAACATCTCTTCACTGCTAAGCACTCTTCTTACAGAGAAGATGATGGATTTATTTCATCAACAGCAGAGAATGGCAAATGGTTGAAGCCCTGTCCTTTATCATCTTTTCACATTATTGATATTCCAGTAGGAGTTGGAGTCTTTCCTTTCAGACCTTAACAAATCAAGATGGCAATGTTCCTTAATGTTCCTGTGCATCTACTGCTGAGCAGTACCAAAGACTTGCTGTATTTCTCCCCATGCCATTGGCCCATTTCAAACTGGTCCATTTCAATATGATACAAAATAAGGCCACATACATATATATCAAGTAGTTATTTTCCTGTAACCACAAGTGCTTTCTGAAATTTTTCTCCCTCCTTTCTGCAGTTACTTCTCCCAGTTCATTCTCTGCATAATGTTGATATTGTATGTTCAGGCGCTGAGCTGCTCTGTGCTCTGAGTTACAACCTGAATTCTACCTGTAGACTTGTTACCATTCTTCGTGACTTTTTAGTACACAGTCTCCTTCTAGATAATAGGACCAGTTGATAGGAGAACAATTTAACTATTGGTGGGGTTGACAAGTGAATGTGGTGCTGGAGTGTACGTAGAAGGAAAACAGTGTGTATTGAAATGATGTGCAATCAGAATATGGTTCTGGTGATGGTAAGATGTGTGATTAGGTGGCAGTGACAACGTGTGCTCTATGCTTCTCATTTTCTGTCAGCTTTGTTGCTTCACAAATCCCACAAGTGTTTCACAACAAAGTACTTTATGTATTAGTATAACTTGGGCAGGATTTTTTTTTTTTTTTTTAAGAGCTCACTGTTGTCCTAGCAATGTTTGATTTCAGGCCAGGGATGAATGCTTTTGAAAATCCCACTCTGAACGTATATGGCTGTCCTCTATTACATGGATGTCAAATTTTCCACTTCTTATATCCAAAGGCTAAAGTTTACTCAAAGCAAAACAGCAAGGATCACGTTGCACTCATCATAATAGCTTACAACGTGCAACCAATAAGTAGGTCACTTATCAGGATGGGATACTGTATAAGAAGCGTGTTTGCCACGAGAGACTTAAGAGTGAGTCCCCTCTGGTATGTATAATAGTCTTGTCAATCTGATCCAGTTCCCACAGATGTTTAAACTAGACCTTGGTTTAAATGGAGACGGATCAAGGGCTATACAACATATATGAAATATGAATGTGTCTTTTTCCACAAGGGCTTACTGAAGTAACTGCAGATGTCACAGGAGGCCAAAATTGATTGTGTTAGTTCACTTTCAGTCTCCATGAGCCATTTGAATGATCCAGGCATATTCTTCCAGAAAATGCAGGTTAGGCAGGGGAAGGGAATAACACACATGGCAATGTTAGCGTGGGACAATGATGAACTGTTCAAGACTTGCAGTTGACCTAATTCTGACCTTTCAGTGACTAAAGAGGTATGAACGTTTCTTTTACATTTCTATCTTCGTTCTCAGCTTGCCTTTGCAAAGCAGCTCAAAGTTATGGGGAAGTTAAAGACACAATCTCCAGCTAAAGCAAAGAAATACTGAAAATCTTGCTGGAGAGGCTGTAATTTGGGCTACTGCCTGCTGACTGCTTTTGATAATGGAGCACGTGATTTCCAACAGCCCTGGTTTTGGAAAGGAGTCGTGATTTGGGGCCCAGAAGCTACTAAGCTTCTCTTTTTCACTGTGCATTTCCACAGCAAAAGGGAAATTCTGCCTCCCTCTGCAGTGAAATTTCACTAGGGAAGAGCATGACCCAAAGTGTTTAAAATTAAACTTTGACATGGCTTAGGTGAAAGATAACCTTTGACTGTAAGGACCCAGGAAAGAGCTCACCGCAGGAGACACCCAGCGCCAAGTTTTGCTTCCCTCTGAGTTTTGAAGACTCTGACTACAATTAGGAGGTGCCTTTGATGGAATCCACCAACACCTCCTCTCCCAGAGGACAGAAGTCAGGCTTGTGGCCAATGGGAGAGCAACTGTGAAAGCCATGACTCCAACTGTATTGCCGTGCAAAACCATAAAGATGGGGGCAATGTCATTATGAATTTAAAACTACTTACAGTGATGAGAATATGGCTCTGAGAGGGGATTGTTCAGCAGAAACGATGTAGTTCTTCCACAGCTCTTATTACAAGAATTGCCTTGCTCTGGAGAACTTTTAATCAACAGTAAAGTACAGCATTTTCAAGTGATTAAGGGGAAAAAAAAACAAACAAACAAACATGAGAAAAAACAGCCCTCGTTGCCCTTTTTATAATTGCATACAGTCAAAGTCTGACTGGGAGATCAGGGGCTGAAAATTTGAGCGTTGAGCAAAACTGAACAAGACCGGTCTGCCTGGCTATGCACTCTCTGCCACTGTTCTCTCTCCTTTTCTTTTCTTTCTTTCTTTTTTTTTTCTTTCTTGAACAGACAGGAGATGCCTGTGGATCTATTCCCCTTTTAACCAGACATACAGGGTATCCAGGGTTATCTGATTTTAACCGTGATATGGTCTTATTAGATGCTCTATAGATACCTCCCTGACTGGATCTCACTACTCACCTTGTTGTAGCTCCCTTGCTAACACCACAGGTTTTATACAGGCCTATCTTTTTGTCTTTGTAATTTCCATAAAATTTCAGCACTGAAAAATGCACTTAAGCCAACTCTTGTGTGCAAGGTGTAAAATTAGTTGAGGTTTTCTTTCTTTTATTTGGACTAAGCTGCTTTACTTCAAGAAGCACCCTTTAAATCTGTGTGCAGGAACCCTGGGTGCCATCACCACAAATACTGTGCATGATGTGCTGTACTGCAGAACAGGAACAGGTGACCAGGACCTTCATTAAGTGGCAGATTTCCACACTAAAATGAATGTTAGCAATTTCAGCCTCAACTGCTCCTCTTCGTAAAACAGTTAAAAGGAACTAAGTGCAATAAAATATTAATCATTGACAGTTTTAAGAACGTAAAAGCAAATCCCATGGGGCATCTTGTGGTGCTACAGACTTGTCTTATGCACAGTTTCCTACCTCTTACTTCCTTCCTCATTAAGTTGGCATTGGGATAAAAGAGCAGAATGGGTCAGGAGGTCCTGTTCGAAGTAATTAGAGAGTTGCTTCTTTTATCTAAGTGTACCTTGTTAAAGTATATCAGTGTCAGCCAGGTTAATTGGAACTTTAATACATAATTGATGCTAATTTATGGCCCTTTTTGTTCCAGGATACTCATGTAGACCCTAAAGTCAGCATACAGTTTTCTTGTTATTAATTATATACTGAAAACCAATATCTCATTGAGAGAAGACCCACAACATGTTATAGTTGCATAGCTTTTCTTCCCCTGAGCCCCTTGGTTCACTGGCATTTCATGTTTTTTTAAAAAGCTTCTACTTAGAATCAGCATAAAATAAACGTGAATGTTTATTCTGCTTTCTCCAGTCGCATTTGCTGAACTCAGTGGAAATATTCCTCAATCACACTGCTGTAACAAGGGTAGGACACTAACTGTGTAACTGGTACTGTTGCTCCCAAAAAATGTTTTTCTTCTCCAAGCTGACAAAATATCCATGAAGAAATGCAAAAGCTATTGCTGCCTTTTAATGAATTTAAAGGTCAAAATCTGCTGCACTTTGTCTTTCCGGATAGGTGCCACAGAGAACGAAACTCCAAGAAAAGATGAATGAAGGCTGAGTACTCTGTACCTCTGAGGCATGGTTTTGTTTCTGTTTTTTACTTTATGAGTTTTAGACTCCCTTGGGAGAGAGGATATAATAGAAAGAAGAATCCAATGTAGCTGGAGAATTGAGATTCCATCTGAGGCGCTTGGGAGCCTGAAACACTTTCTGTCAGTCCACGGTGAATGGGACTGGCAGCAGAGGAGGTGTTGAACAGAACTCCAGATCCTCTGGAAGATCAAATGTTGCTTACGAAAATCACATGATGTAGAGGATAGCCAATCCTGCCATTCTTTTTCTGTATGGTCTGCACATCTTGGATTTAGTGCCTATGGACTTCCAGTGTTTGTGCAAGAATACTTTGTCCTCATCAATTCAGATGAGATTTTCTTTTAGAAGTGTTCTTCTAGCACCTAAGTAAATCAAGAGCTGCATAGAGAATAGAGTATTGTCAGATGGCTCTGCTTAGGCATATCTAAAAATAATGCCGTTCTTGGCTTAATGATGCTCCTGCAAGAGTTCTGGAAGCTCATCTGCTCCTGTAATCTGCCAGATATTTGAACTGGTCAAGTCTGATACTTGTACAACTGGTTTTTCCTTTAATTTGCTCCTGAGTTTATTTTGTTCTGTGAAAACCAGATGTGGCATAACGTGATAACATACCTGTAGTGGGTAATGCTGGAACATGACACAACATGCGTCAAATTTCTTTTGAACCTGTGTGAGCTCAGGTATCAGTCAAAAGAAGGTCGTTTTAATGATCAATGATTAATTAGATGATTGTTGGCAGATGAATCCAAAGATTATATAGCAGTCTTCATCAGCGTCTGTAACATAGAAGAAAAATTAAGATTTTTAAGTCAAAGGAATGGAAAGAGTAGTGCTCAAAGTTTCAGCTGCTCCTATGACATCTGTGTACTGTTTCAGAGGGCAGCATCTGTCAGTACAGTGGGAAATACTTAAGGGATCACTCTGCATTTTAGAAATTTTAGAAATTATCTCTTCATTTAATTATATTCCTACTGCATTTTGGTTTCTAGGTGTCCAAACTATTTTAATTCATACTGCTATTTAGAGACATGAATGCTGTGCAAAGCTGGTTTTTGTCAGCAGTACTTGCTTGGTTATTATCTCACATGGACTCTCCTGCTGACTCTGCTGGCCAGATTTGCTAGAGACTTGCGAGACCGAGTCCTGATCAGATGGAAGCCAGTGCTGATTACAGAATGCAAGGCCGACACTGGGACAGTGATGCCCTGGCAGCAGAAAAATCTTCTTGGTCAAACCTGTTGTTTTAATGATGCATTGTGTGCTTCAAAGTTCTGTTTGTTGCAACCCAGAAGGCATCCGTGGCTGTATAGTGGCACTGAGCAGTCCTCCGTGTCTCCTCCAACTCCTGTCTGTGGCCCAGGGGTCCCATTTCAGTTTGGTATTGCACACAACTCAAACACCCATGTGTCCCAGGTATGGTAAAGGTCATCCTGACAGGAAATGTGAGGATAGCCTGGAGTTCAGTACGTGGCTCCCATCAGCAATAGGGATGCAGGGACACCATTTGGCCACAGCTGGACTGGGGGTATACAGGCCAGGCTATACAAGGTAAATCTCGTGCTGAGGTTTGGCAAGCTCTAGATCTATCTTGAGCTGTTCTGATAAATGACCTGAAGTTGCACAGTAATGCTGTTTCACATATGGCATAAACTGGGTACTGCTGGCAAACTAACTGTGCCTTTTGTTAATCTAAGGAATCATGCAAGTATCTAGAAGATTGCTTTCCAAGGAGGGCTGAGGCTGAAACAAATACCACTAAAAACTGAAGCAATCTTCAGGCTATAAAGACTGCATGAAAATCTTCTCTGGTTTTTCTCTCCTTATTCTTTCCTGTCCGCGGATTTCATGAGAGAGGACTGAGCAGAATCGATTAACCTCACAGAAACTCCAGCAAGACTTAATATTCTCAAAGGAAGGTCACCAGGTTTCAGTTTGTGCCAGCACTTACTGTCCAGAGGTATTGAAGGCTGGGGAGCTGGAAGTGAACCTTGGTCTCTAGCAAAGGAACTAGTGAAATCTGCCAAGCGATTTGAATAGAAATTGATGTGGCAGTATTTTTTTTTTTTTTTTTTTGGATGTTGCTCCTGTTTTCAGGACTGAACTCACCTCGGAAAGAAGACTGGGGAATAATTCTTCACACAGCTGATTGTCACTGCTTTGGTGGCACAAAGTAAACAGAATGGGGAAGGCAGCAAGTGCATTAGGGCAGGAGAAATAAAGAAGCATTTCTAACCTCTCGCAGCAATAGGCAGCAGGGCACATAATGAGCTCTGCTTCACTAGTGTGAACTGAGAGAGGCTTTTCTTTCCCCACCTCCCTCCCAATGCTGCATCTACCTGTGCCCCGTGGAGAGCAGCCAGCCAGGGTTAGCAGCAGATAACCCTGTCTTTTTAAGTGCAAGGTCTGTTTTCTTATTTTTTTTTTTCCCTTATTTTTGTAATTTGATTTGATTGGTGGTTTTTATTCTCCCTAACACATAGCTGAGATATCTGGAAGCCATCAACATGGTTGGAGTTGTCTGGGTGTTTTGCAAGTTGGGACAGCAACATCCCTTACCTCTGCTGTAGTCTCAAAATGCCAAGGGTTCATTTTGGGCTGCACCAAGGCTGGTTATGATAAGGATCTTGCAGAGTTAAATGCAAGAGGTTCATGCTGGCAGAGGCTGAGCAGAACAAGATTTCAGTGTCAAATCATGGACTGAGTTCTGCTCTGCTGTGAGGAGTGAGTAAACAACATCTCATTGACTTGAGCCATACCAGCAGTAGTCAGCCCTGGTGAGCATCATTACTATGTCTGTTAAATGCAATTGGAGACAGAAAAAATGTGTGTGAGCTTTGGACACGCACAGTTCATCTCAGAGCTGGATAATGGCCCAACCTCTAAACATCAAGAGTCTAAAAGTTAAATGGCCAAATCACCCCTGTGGAGGAGCAGTAG